AAAGATAACTTGATTTTTTTAAATGAAACTACCAAGTTTTTTATTGCATCAAATGTAGGATTTGATTACCTTTCTAACGATATAAGCACGCCGTATTTACCTTTTATACATATTTTTGTAATTCAACCATTTCTAATAATACACAAGGTTTGTCGATTTTTAAAGCCTCTCAGTAATTAATAGGCCGTTAAAAGTTAAAACACCTATTCTAATTATAAAACAGGGAGTTATATTTAAAAAAAGTGCAACTTTGATTTAAATCACCCTGTATAACAATTGCAATTTCGTTGAAAATATTTTTAGGTTGTAGCCTGAAGAGTCCTTCAATCTGCCCCGACAATAAATTTTAAATATTCTTTTCAAATCTTTAGTAACCGCGCACTAAGCTGCTGTATTTCGGAGAATTTAATATATATATTTTTTTGTAATAAAACCAAATTTGTGTAGGTTAAACCAAGAAAAATAATCTCTTTCAAATAACTAAATAAAAAATTTAGCGCTACTATGTATTTGAAAAAAAGTTTATTTGTATAATAAAACCTAGCATAATTTGTGTAGGCTGTACACAGAAAAAGAAAGTCTTCCGAATAATTTAATAAAAATTTTGCGTTATTGCTATTTAAAAAAAATAGTATGACGTTTACATCCTTTATGTCTAATCTGCCAACGTATGTACGTACATAGGTACACACGAGTTAAAACAGACAGTAAAAATTTTTATTCTTTAAAAGTTGCTTAATATGATCTAAAACGTTGACGTTTGATGAAATTTTGATACGTCCAAAAACGGTCGCAATATAGCCACCCCGCGCTTTTTGACAACCCGTACGGATTTACTGTCTCAAAATATATCGAAGTACTTTCTTCACTATTTTGTTCCGCATTATCATGCAGCCTTAGAAATTCATGACTATACCAAGAACAGAATGGTTCCACGTACATATCGTGGAAATTGTAACGTCTACTGCGGTACTTCCCCAATATAGGGTCTCAACTGGGATGCGACATTTTCGATCTCACACAAATATTTGGTATCTGCGTCTCTTTAAGAGAAAAATAACGAAACCAAAATTGTTTTTGAAAATTCGAATTTTAACTGCAATTCTGGACCAGACATAGGCCTCCGGTAGTTTTTAGCTCATTTTTGCAAAGTAGGATCGATGTCAAAACTCTAATTGCATCTTCATTTGTTCTTAATAGAAGCTTTTCATATCACTTTGGCCGACTGACTGGCTGGTTGGATGGCTGCCTGGCTGGCAGCAAATGAGGGCCTGTAGACAATCGCATGTAGAAAGACGAGGAGTGTACGTGTTCATACGGAGTCGTGTAATTAACAACTTTAGAGACGGGGCTACATGATGTGGGGACGGCGACATCTGGGCGCCATCCCCACGCGTGGTTTACTAACGTGGTAATTTTTAGTTTTTCCTATCTTCTTCTACAGTTTTGGCCGAGGTCGAACCCATAATTGCACGTCAAGATACAATTTTACAAGTCGTACGACAAAATCGTATAATGTGAATCTTGAAATATTTGGTTATGGCAACTCGCAAGTTGCAAGAGAAATCATAATCAAAATCACATAACGGAAATTGCACTTATAAGAATCCCCCATTTACACGCTGCTAACTTGTATTTGAACTGACCACAAATTTTTTTAAAGTTTCGTCAATAAATTACCAGTGGAACGGAGAAGAAAAAATAACTTTTTCGCATAGCCAAATTATCCCTTAGAGCCTTGGGCGATTAATTTAACAGCCTCAATTGCAGATAATGCTTTATGCTTTGTGCCTCGATCTTTAACAGGGCTGCGCGTGTAGAAAAGGCAACCAAATTTCGGAGCTGAAATTTTCAAACAATTACTTCAAAATATTCAGACATTGAGATACTCAAAAAGTACCTAGTGTTTTCACATAACAATATTTTGAAAACTCTTTCGAATGCAGACATCAATGCTAGGCACCTTGTTTTAATGTAACCCAACAGTTTTTGATACTTTCTATCAGCTAAGCCGTAGAACTCTTTGAGTATTTTTCAATGCGAACACTATAAATGTTAAAAAAATAAGTCAATTTTAACAATGGTGAACTCAAATCAACAATCCCTATAAGTTTTGTTTTTATTTCAGGGACGACCTCCATTGCAAAGGCTTTGTTGACACCTTTTACTATTTTTGCCACCAAAATTACCTACAGTTACCGTTGTCTCCACAAAAACCCCACAACTTTTGATTTTAAATCATTTAATGTTAATATACTTCCTTACAATATTCAACGATTATATCCGATTGGGATCCAAACACCAAGATTTGAATTTGCGCGTCCTTCTGTGGTCAAAAATAATGGACCAAGACGAGAAACAATTTTGTAGAGCCATGGTTTGAGGCAAAACCATGTTTTCTAGAAATAAAACCCTGTTGTGATTGTCGTGGACAACCAGCATATATAAGGAAAAAAATCATTAATCCGCATGTGAGCAAAGGCGAAGAGTGCATTTTCAAATTTGTTTTTTCGATTTTAACAGCCCTTATGGACATTTCATGCCGTAATGAGAATACAAAAATGAAATAATTTTTAATTTCTGATCGAATGACACCAATACCAAGTCTGTAAGTGGTGTAGTTCCGGAGCCTTTATGACTCAGACAGACAGACAGGTAGACATATCAAGAGCGCCAAAGTGTGTACATTTTATTTTTTGAAAGTGAAAGTGTACTAAAAACGGAACTGTCACGTTCAAAACGGGACTTTGGTCACATCTCACATTCGACTCATATTCGCTTACTTGACTTAAATTCTCAGACGCCTATTGTTAGGTACCTATGTTGTTTCTCACAAAGACAGGCCTAACACCTCTGATTAATTAATAAAAACTTCGTCTACGTCATAATTGTGCTTTTAGATCGTCTTATCATTAAAAATACTATAAAAATCTAAATACGAGCACGGAACACGCCAAGCTGTGATCAGAGATGTAGGGATTAGAACCTAAATCGCACAAAATACCGTACCTACTTATAATCAAAAATAAATCAATTATACGGTAAACATCCTGCATAATTACAAATCTTGTTGGTTTGACAGAATAAGGTATAATCAGTCGTCGGTTCGCCGTTCCGAGTTCCGATATAAAGGAATGTGTATGTGTAACTAACATAAACGCATGCTAGCAGAAAAATTGCGAGTGTAAATGGGGAAGGTCAGTTACATACAATATGAATACAACATTTGTTGGGCTCTGTGTAATCGGATACTCCTGTTTATCACAACAGTTCATGTCTTTCTTATTGCAGTTGTAAACGACGCGCAAGTTATTCATTCTACAGCGCTTCCTTGTGGACGCGGAATAACACTAATTTAGTTTGGATTTAACGCACCAGAGGCTTAAATCCAAATCACCGTTGCCAGAATTTAACATGGCATGATCCATCTGTAGTATATTTAAATCTGTGCTACAGGCAATAGGAGACGAGGTGGACACGGGAACGTATTGGCACAATTGTGCAAAGAGACGACGCCGTACAGAAAAACGGGCGAAATGGGAGGGCCCCCGATATCACTTGGCAGGGCCAGCGTTCCATGAGGTCTTCGAGGTTACTCCTTGGGGTGAAAAGGACAAACATGTTCGGCGTAAAGGAGGTCGACTCGACTATAATAGGGATGTTTGGCATTAGGATACCAAACTGTTGCTTGTAAGGGACGAACGACCAAGGGCGCTTATTAAAGACCATAGACGGGAACATTCCGCTAACGACGATAACAGAAATAATAGAAAGACTGTCAAGGGCATATTAAAATAAATTAGGCGTCGGGGTGCTTTAAGAGCTAAGAATTCTCCAATGAACGTACGTAGGAAACGAGTGACGCATGCTTGGTGGTCTTTTTAGATGTAGCAAATGCGTTTAGCGAAGCGCACTAGGAAGTAATTCTTGCGGCTTTAGAAGAGAGAGGGAAACAGAAGCCATACCACAGAATATGGAGTACGATACGCGGTATATTCTGTGGCCATACTCGCACTACATTGGTACATATTGTTGTGTTAATTTACGTGGTTTGGACCATGTTTAATTTTTTTTATAGCCGCATTAAAATTTGTTGATTAAGTTTATTTAATTGTAAAGAAATTACGTTTTATAGAATAAGAAACATCTCGAAATTATTTGCATAATATTTGAAAAGTTTATCTCATGTTTTTCTCCGGTCGTAGATAAAAGCTTTGCTTATCGCTAAAAGTTAATCAATTTTCTGAACCGATGTTGTTGCAGATACGCACTTTAGATAAGAGAATTTTGTTTATTTTATAACTAACAAATAAGGAAGTGGAATCGAAGTTGGGACAAGAGAGGGAAATGTGTTAAAAAAAGAAAGTTAGTGAATTAAGGGAATTAAAAGATTTTAAGGACGTCCTGTTACATGGAAAAACCATTTGCGAGGTTGGCTTTTGATTTAGGGATCATGGGTATTGAAAAGGATTTCCAGTGAGTTGCAGTTGAGTGGTATGTTCGTAGGAAGGGACAAAAGATCGATCCGCCTCTTTTAATTCCGAGATTATGTACTTTCTAGTGGGTATTCATTTAATTAGTATGTACTCCTAGTACTAATGCGGAACGTTTCAACTAAAGAAAAAGTTTCTGTGAAAGAAAATCAAGGTAACATTCCACCAGTTTTCGAATTCATTATATTCATTTACTATGTAATTGGAACGCTGACGTAACCCTTCAATAACCGTAAAACACAATCCCAAACCTTAAATGTAGCTACGAGTAATCCACGCGTGGTTGTGTAGAAAATAAAATTCAGAGTAATGTGATTGCTGCAATTATTACATTGGAAATTAAACAAATTTTGGTAAATGCAATAACTTGAAAACTAGGTACCTACATACCTACCAACTGTTAATAGCGTTAATAGCGAAAAAAGAAGTACACCTACACAAGGAAATGCTCAAAAATTTGAGGGAGCATCCACAACGCAACCAACATACCTATTAAAACGCACATTAGACACTTAAAAAAAATATATTGTATTCATCAAATGCATCATGAAAAGTGTACTACAAGTTAAAGCTCCTCTTTAACCGCCTTACTTTCCTCTCTGCTTGAGTTTACAAACTGAATTATTTTGTCAAAATTAGGCTTGCCCTTGTAAGGAACAACACGATTGTCGCCCTTCTTGTAAAGTAAAACCTCCGGTTCCTTACGAAACGGTTTCTTATCAAACTCGTTTAAATCTACGTTGATTTTTCCTACAATAATACCAGGTTGATCGCGGTAATATTCTCCGAGCCGGTAAAAAACGTCGGTCCAAACACCACATTTTTCGCACTCATCCCCGTAGAAGAGGACAAGAACGTCGACAGACGGATCGTGGGCGACCCTCGCAAAATTAGAACCCACTAAAGTGTAGACGTCTGACTTGTTCCAGTCATCCTTAAGTTCCTCGCTTAGTAAAAACCTTGGCAGACGTTTCGAGTTAAAGTCTTGAAAAAATCTTTGGAGATTATCTCCTGTAAGAGGTGCGTCCATTTTGTACTTCTCCGCATTATTTTTGTGACTTGCGATGACAACCGTTGGCGTGTCCTGAAGTCGCAATTTAAAAAACTCCAAAGTATCCATGTTGCTTTTATCATCCGTGTTGATTAAAAGAAATGTCATACTTTTTCTGTATTCTCGAGCGAAAGGTTTCAGCAGCTCGACCACGCTGTCAGTGGTTGGGGCTTTTTTCGACGCGAAAAGAAGCACGAATGTTTGTACCTGTCCTTGAAAAATGGTGTCCGCGTTCTTTTCGTTTAACTCCGTGATTAGCAATGAAGATTCAATTTTAACGAACGTCTGAACGTTTTCTAAGGTTAATTCTTCATCAAACACCGCCTTGTTGTAATCAAACTGAAAGTGTCTCAAACGTTAATTGTTAATAAGTTGTGCTTTCCTTACGTTTTTAAACAACACAATTGGATGGGATGCATTACCAAATTTCGAACGAGATTCTCGATCAAAGGAGAATGTAAATGGGGGACGTTCGAAACTGTCTGCAATTTTTAAAAATTTCTTCAACTGCTCAGAAGGTCCCTCAAAGAAGCCTATGATAACCATATCTTCACCTATCACGGTTTTGGTAGCTTCCTGAATGGTGCGAAGTTCTCGGGCTGAAGGCCTCACTTGGTCTTTCAGCCATGATGCAATTTTCTTTGAGTTTCGGTTACCTTTAAGTACGTGACTTTAAAACGTGGAAGACCTTCGGAAAAAAATTACCGTGATACTTCAACGGGGTGCCCCGCCTGAACAGTTGCAACACCGGAAAACCTAAAATATGGTACTTTGCTCGTAGTTCAATTTCATCGGACGCGTTAATTTTTGCCAACTTAACGGGTATCTTTAGGTTAGATGTCTCTTTGGCTGCTTTAGTAAATTCCGGTTCGAGTTCTTGGCTATCCTTACACCATGGCGCATCTAAAAGTATTGGTCAGTTTTATGCGGAAGAAGCATTGCTACAATGTAGTTGTGCTAATTATGGAATTAAAAAGCTATGGAGATAAGCATTCTTGAATTGAATTAAAAGTGTCAAAGATAAGTATTAATACTTACAGAACATAACAAAAATGTATTCATTTCCTGTTATTGCCCTTTCGAAATTGTCCTTATCTAAGATCAAAATGCCGCTTTCTATTTTAATTCCATCACTTGTTGAGGTAGTTATAAAGGTAGTAAGTGAGCATAATAGCAGCATTAAACATTTCTCAAACATCTTTGTACTGACTAATTGCATATCAATTCAGACCAATAGCAAAAACGATTACATTAGAATATTCTACGTATGCAAATAACAACCCCGTCCTAATGTGCATATACTTGCGCCGAATGCCCCACCACAGATGACGTATGTATATACGTACGTTGAGGGGACTTGCTACTTGTTGAATACAAATATGATCTTTTGTTAATAGACCTGTTTTGAATTGTTTTATCGTATTGCTTACGGTGCGTCCACGTGAACACACAAATAAATACTTAATAAAACAATGTAAATACATAGCAAACACATTACAACAAACAAACATGATTCAGTCAAGGTACTCCTACTCATAAATCAAAGTTTGGAGCACGTTATGCTTTAATAAACCAACATCAACATTTAGGCAAAATATAAAGAATATAACAAATTGTGACATGAAATTCAAAGATTTGTAGTGTAGTTACTTAACCGCCAGGTTCTACGCTAACTTCACACTACAAGAACACGGAAATAAACCCGGCAACGTTTAAAAATGGCCACTCGAATGAAGATTCCCTCCAAAATTAAACAAGATCCCGCTTAAATTTGAAAAGTGGCAAGTGATAAAAAAACATCTAAGGCAGGGCCCCCTTCCGTTAGATGTAAACAACGCTTTGACCTGAAGCACAGTACGGAAGGTACGTAAAATAAAACACTGAAATTGTGAAAAGTTTGTTTAATAATGATCATAATTATTAAGATTGTGAAAGCCCAGAAATTTAAGTCGAAATAAATTACATTGCAAAAATACACTTTGAAAATGGTAGTTCACCGAATAAAAATAGAAATCGGCTGGGGAAAAAAGGACTTACCAATAAAAAAAACAAGCCCTCAAATTAATATTAAATATTGTGTACTTAAATTAATTGTTTGTAATGATGTGAATGCGTAACATAAAATTATAACATCACAAAAAGTAGCATGTAGACTTCAAGAGGTAACTTATAGGTTAAAAACAAGTTTTGGAAATTATGAGTCAAGTAAGCAGGTACCAAGATTCTAAAAGGGTGAAACACACAGGATGTGACTCATCTTTGGTGCATAATAAAGTCCTTTTGTTAAAAGCAAGATAGAAAATTACATGGCCTTGTGGGAAAATTTAACTATGGTAAAAATATGTGGAAATGATTGAATCGCCACTCATATATCACACGTAGATTCTAAACCGAAGAGTTTTGATTAGCATAATCTCGCCCCCGCAAGATAGGTAGCGTCGCCCCTCGTTCGGGGTTTCTAGCCTACAGTTGAATGTCGAAGACAATCACGGAATTAGGTGTCCTAGCTCAATTTTGACTACACTTTTTACCACCCCCGTAACTGCTTCGGCGGCAAGATGTGCTAAATTATATTTTTTTCATTCAGCGCTAGTAGTAAAAAGCTAAACACTTGTCTAAATGGTAGTAGTCGATGGGGAAAAAATTAGCTTTATACTATTTTTTTCCTTCAACGGGTGTTTTACGACACAGGTTGACTGGACTACAAGTGCCTATTCCTGAAGCCATCGAAATCCACAAACTTTTTTGCTGTTGCCATCACAGTGTCCTTAATTTTATCCATCTCAGGTGCCTTACTCACTGTCTAACTTGTAGTTTTCTTCCAGTTATTACCAGAATACAAACCGTTTCGTTAGTACATAAATAAATACTATTGTTTATTTTCTTTATATCATTGGACTTGAGGCTAACAAATTTTAGTAAGAACTCGTCGAAGTATCCGAATACCAGAAGACAATCCAGCGCATCGAATTTGAAAAGCAACTAATGTTGTAGGGTGGAGTTGGGCGCTTCGAGTAGGTATGATCTCCACGGCGGCATTGAAGGTGCTGGAGATGGGTTGGTAGATGTAATTCTTTGGAATAGAAACAATTCCAAACAAGTAGGGCTGTTCTACGTGCAGCCTTTTTGAGGTGAAGTTTTTAAATGAAATGATGGTTTTGTTGGATAGATAAAATCACAGACAAAATTAATGATAATCGGAAGCTTACTGCCACTTAGGCAACCAAACTTACACAATCTAAAATTGCAACGTGGAAGTGCAAGTTTTCCGGCGGGGATTCGTGTGGGAGGGTTCGCACGCCGTCGCGCATTGTCGTGTTTGCTTCGGCGTTTCTTCGCCGCTGCCTTGATATAAACGCTACAGCAGGCAGCAGGTGGGGCCTTTTGTCCCAATGGCTACACTTGACAGTGACGGCGTATTTTGAATTGCAGATTTCACAATTTGAATTAAATGCGTTGTCAATATGTTCACCTGTTTGTATGCCAAAACAAAACTTTTATCTTTCTTAAGCATTTCTCTACACGTTATGATTTTACATTAATGCAATAGACACAGTTACACTATGAAGAAGCTGTAAAAGAACTATAAATAAAAAGTTAACACAAACCACGTCTTTACAAATTGGTTATTATTTATATTGAACTCTATACATTGTTTAAAATATTTATAATTAAATATAAAATTTAAACAAATCACAATTAGGTACATGTGAATAAAATAAGCTGCCAGTAAAAACAAATTTGATATGTGTAAACTGATAACTCAAATTGAGCAAATAAATTATAATGAAATTAAACATATTTGGTCCCAAATAAAAACTGTGCACTATGTGTAGAAATATATGTGACTCGAGTTTTGTACTATTAATTAATTAACACAAAATTTAAAGATAACAAATGCGCATTAGTCGCTTTTAGCTAGAAACAATTAAAAAATTTAAGAATACTGCAGCAGCAATTTACATTAATAATTAAAATAATCATCTAAAACAAACAAGAACAAAAAAAATTTAAAAACTCAATAAATTAGTACTTTACAAAGATCACAAATTAAAATTATGAGCTAAAATTGAAAAAAGGAACAATAGAAGCAAGGCGCAGAGTAATCATTTCCAAACACCCTGTGTATGGCGGAAAATCTAAGTACCGAATTAATACAGTTAAAGATTTTAGTACCGTTACATTAAAGAGTATGCAACATTTACCTCAGTACACGAACTTTATTCCTAATCAAGTTTAAAAATAATTATAAAAATCTATATACAGTGTGATTGACAGCTATCTTACATTTTTAGTGAATCTAATACAAATGGTTTAAATAAATTGGTGATGCACATTAAAAAATTTCATTCGTCAATAAATAAAAGTGATGTATAAATTTAAAACGTTAATTTAAATCAATCGCAGTGTATACAGCAAATTGTTTAGAATACTCAGTATACGATGCGTACAAAGTTAACGCAATTCTAATAGTAACCACGAGCACTACTTGTAGCCTACAACTAAGAATCGCCACTTCTAAAACACGTAAGTATCATTGTGGTTACACTTTTGACTAAATCCTCGCATCCAATCGGCCTTAACTCTACTACATAACCTCCCACTTGTAAATAGTTAACATACTTTCTTAAACGTTATTTAATATGGCAGGTCTGGTACAAAAACAGTATGCACCAATAATCTACTATACCTTACACTATAACCATTTACAAGTCAATATTTGGCTTTAAACAATAATATTAATTAATTTAGTCCTATGCGCACAAAAAATATTTATTTCTTCTTACTAGCCTTCTCCGCCATCTTATCCGCCTTCTTCTGCAACTTCTCCTTCTCCTTCCTGTCTTTCTCGATCTGCTTCCGTTCCTTTTCGGCCTGCATCTTTAGGTCCTTTATCTTTCGTTTGAGCCGATTTTTATCGTCACCGCAAATGCCCAGTATCTTAAAATCGGCCGAGGTTAGTTGCATGAGAGCGGTACCGTTCACTTGCAGTTCGAGGAATTTCGTTATGTGCTGCTCGAGGCCGAGCGCTAGCAGCCAATGGCACACCTGAATCATAAGAGTCAATAATAACATGTCAACAACGAATGGAGATTTTTTGGTTTTAATTGCCTTTGCCGTTTCTCCAAAAACAGAGATTACGGTTTTTTCTTTATGGATGATACAGGTTTGGATTATTTAATTTTCATTTGAAGTTAATAACAAACAAAAACTGCCCTGAAGTTTTATGGAAATTGTGCAAAGTGGATTTTGCCATATTTTAAAAAAGTTATTTTAGTGTGTATAATGTATACAGGGTGGTGACTTGCGCAACGCATCATAGGAATTTCAATGTAAAATTCATAACATGCGATTATTGGCTCCCCAAATTATTTTAGAGCAAAAATGTATTAAGGTTTTTTGTAGAAACAAATTTTTTACGTCAATAAACCGTATTAGTTTTCAATTTTTTTGCATAATAAAGACGGAAAATTGGAAAAATAAAACCCCCATCTTATCAATAATCTGTGATGCCATGGAATTTTCTAAAACAAAAAGATATCCAATTATCAATTAGCAGCCGTTCGAAATGGATTTTATGATCGCCTTGGTTACTGTCTTGCATTTAATGGGGACTTATTCGAACATTTATTGTAAATTGTTGTATTAGGAAACCGTTTTTAGTAATTTGGTTTTTCTTTATGTTGAATTCGCTGTTCTAAATTAATATAATACTTTTTGATAGAATTTGATTTGTTTTATAGCAGACATTCCATGGCATGACGGATATTGGCGTAGCTTTTCTATTATAAAATTCCATGGCATCACAGATTATTGAAAAGATGGGGGTTTTATTTTTCCAATTTTCCGTCTTTATTATGCAAAAAATTTAAAACTAATACGGTTTATTGACGTAAAAAATTTGTTTCTAGAAAAAACCTTAATACATTTTTGCTCTAAAATAATTTGGGGAGCCAATAATCGCATGTTATGAATTTTACATTGAAATCCCTATGATGCGTTACGCAAGTCACCACCCTGTATATAAAAGGCAATATTTGTCTGACTGTCTCTCTACTTGATGTTGGGCGTTCACAGCTTTGGACAAACCCACACCAAATTTGCCACAAGATCTGAACGAAAGTTATATACAAAAATGAACCTTCTGCAACCTTCATCTTCCTAGTACAGTAAAAGGAGAGCACCCTGTACAAAGTTAGAATGGTAGAATGTTAAGATTATGGAAGAGGGGGACTGATAATGTCCTACCAAAGGCAATGCTGTGCGTTGAAGCAAATTTTCATGTGTGCTCAACTGTGTTTGCATTTTGTTTACTCCTTCAGCCGTTTAGGCGATACGCGATTGTAAACATACGAATTCACTTTGTTGTTATTTTCTGATAATTGTATGTCTATCTCTAACTCTAAAATTGGGTTATTGTCGATTCATCTAATCGTTAATAGTTTGTTTTGTGTGTTTGGCAGTTTTACCGTTATCGAAGCTTTTTGAAAAGACAGTCAGTCTTTTTAATTGTAAGGTTTTGTGAAAGGAAGTTAAGAATGTTTCAAGAGAATTAAGTCGTCGCGATTAATGATAAAAGTGAATAGTCTGTGTGTTTTGTCATTCGTGCGTTTATCGGTTAAATGCAAGGTTGTTTTTTCCATCATCAAAGAGAAAATTTTACATGTACTAATAATATATTCATTGTGCAAGTACATTAAAAGTAATGTTTACACGCGTTATAAAAGCAGAACAATACATATAAACATAAAATATAAAACGTAAACTTCAAGAAACATCAAAATGTATAATTTAACGTCAATGTTAAGAAAATCTTTAATATTGTACAAGGGCTTTTCAGTTAAAAATGCCTTTATTTTGTTTTTGAAAGTATTTATATTTACTGATAGAAAAACAAGGTCCGTGTCGTCCAAATCGAAAATTAAGTGCAAGTAAGAAAGTGAAGTTTTGAATTACTAACACTTGAAGGTAATTAAGATTTCTTTAATTGTTTCAATCGATCCCTTGTTGTGTGGTATCTGTCTATAGACGCTGAATGCCTCATTTATTGGTGAACGTTAAATAAATTTTATTTTGTTTGTAAATGATCTATTGTGTGTTTAATCGAACCCAAATTACGATCCAGATAAGAGTTCTCATGTCAAATTTGTCTATTTGTGCCCAGGATTATGTGAGAAGGGAAGTCAATTTAAGTCTTATCGAGATTTTTCTTAGTAGCGGATGTCGAGCGTGCCTTGGAAAAATTATAATTAGTTAGTTTGCCATTGCCATTGCACATAGCAATCTACACAGACACTATTATACATTCAGTGCTTTTTAGTAACCCAAGGCACAAAGTGGTCTGATTACTTTCAAAAGATATAAAACAAAAACAGTGTATGATGAATGAAGACTTCCATTTCTTTGCTGCAGGCCGTACTAAAGCAGCACATATAATTACCAAAAAAAATTATCAGTCCTCGTGTGAGATCGAAGGGATTGTATTTTTGTATGGAAGATCAGTATTCTATTAGACAGTTTTGACTCCACCATCAATAATATCTTGTCGAAGGCTACCACATTCACTTTATCGATACCCGCTTCTCACTTCCCATGCACCTGCAAGTCGGTACACAGTTCCGACGTCACGTTCACTCCCAATTCGCATTTTGCCAGATTCCACTAAAAACCCGGGCCAAAATTATACGCATTTGTTGGGAACTTCTCATAGCCCGAGCTTCTATTGGCGACATGAGAAAGAGAAACCGCGATTCGAGCTCTAAGAATCGTACGGGCGCCCAGAGTCGACTACCCCTCGAAGCGCGCAGTGCAAAAGGTAGTTCATTTCGCCCCTAGGACGTTGACAAGATCATTCTGACGATGTCTACTTGAAAACCATAGGAGAAAAATTGTATTAGAAGATAGGAAAGATCTGAAAAATCTCCCGGTTAGAATAACACGCGCGGGGATGGCGCCCAGATGTCGTCGACCCCACATCATGTACACCCGTCCCTAAAGTTGTTAATTACGCGGTCCCGTTAGGTACATGTACACTCCTCGTCTTTTTACAAGCGTTCTTCTACGGGCTCGCATTTACTGCCAACCAGCCAGCCAGCCAAAGTGAGATTAAAAGCTACATTTTTACAAATAAATTTGCAAAAATGCGCTAAAAATTTAATGTTCATGGTTGAATTTTTAATGAACATTACACTAGAACAAAAAACCTGCTTTAATTGTACAAATGAAGTTAAATATTCTAGCGTTTTAGCTAGAGAATTTGAAATTTCACATATGTCTGTATTGAATTTGCCAATTCAGAGGAAATGCGTAAAGTTCCAGTAACTGAAAAGACACTATAAAACTACTTTAAAGACAGTTTTACAGTTAATAAGTCGAATCCACTAAACAAATCAGATGAATAGTATATAACTACTATACTGCATTCATGGAAGGCAGTAGATGGCGCTGTGTTTGAAGATAAGCACACACAGGAAAAATGTAAAACAGCACCAAAGTAGAAATATCCAGCACTGCGAACAGAAATAAATCACACGATTTCACACTTGGATTTTGGACGTTAACAGCTAATGACAGTTTAACAGTTTAATTAGCAATAGAAAGTACTATCTTACAAAATTCCTTACTCGTTTTATTTTGCAGCGTAATACTGACTCGTGCTTAACCAATCACAGTGAAGGTCAAAGCCTTCTACCGCGTCTTTCTTAAAATGAAGTTTCTTTTGTTTACACTGCTGTCAAATTTGTGTGTAAGGTGGGTTGCATAACTGTCAGGCATATCAATGCATTGACTTGTATATTTAAGAATTGAACATGGGAGATTTGTATGTTCAAAGTTAAAATTTACGCAAGAGGGAGGAGGACCTTTAAGCGTTACTTGGTCTACTGTCCAGAGCCACCATCAGCTTGAACTGGTCCTATTTCAATATACTGACAGAATCTCAAATGTTCAGCTTCCCTTACCACACTTTATGGGTCAAAACCTACTGTTGCTATGCTTAATAGTGTCCTTGCAGCTATTCCTGATCGGGTGTGCACTTTTATAACTGGGAACAGTGCTCCTGTTGCCACGTTCCGTTCTAGTTATTTTGTTAATATCAAAAAATCCATATTACATGGTTACAATCACTGTTACTTATAATTTACTAATATTTACTATATTATAAGCTGCCCTGCATTGCGGCTGAAACAAGAAGAGAAATGCTTTCCCTTCTTACATTCATAAATATGAATCAAGTGTGAGGTGGCTTGGAGGCATTTAGGAATGGGCAACTCATAATCAAGAGATATAATTCAAATAAAGCCTAACTGAGCAATGGACTTTGGACCAGCCTTTTATCTAAATTCGGAATCCAACGAACACTTTCTTTAAGTCTTATCCTTTCCTTGCTCTCCTTTTAACCACCCCAAAATAATTATAAAGATGCTTCTGTTGTTTAGGGTTATCCATTCTACTACAACATTAAAAAACAATCAACATGTGAGGCACAACATTTCACTTTTTCACAAATCAGGGCACATCATTTTACCAGGCAAAAATCAAGTGACAGAGAGTTGAGCCATTTTTTTTTCTGATCAACTTGAATGCGCAAAAAGTACCTGGCATGAGGTACACACATTTTTGCCTCATGGTAAATGGCAGGAACATCAACTTATAATTGTTTTACTTTTCGTTTCACAATAATTCTTTGTGCATAGTAATTCGGCGACACGCGTTTTCAGGTTATGACATCAAAGTCATGCGTTATTCCGGATGTTTATGATTTTTCAGGCTTTAAAGTTTTTTTCAAGAAAATTTAAAAGTCAGAAACATCATAACCTACATGTGCCCCGATTTCGAGCAACTCACCTGTTCTTTGCTCCACTCTGAAACCGGAGCGGATTGCCAAAAATGTGAGCCTCGCTTCTCGCTACTAATACTCGAACAAGATAAACTGAGATCAGAGGGATGTGTCCACGACGAATCATGTCTAGAAGGAGAAACCGAACCCGACGATAAACTGGAGGGCGACGGCGGCGTGGGCGACGTAGCGCCCTGCTGTTGCCAAGGCGTCGTACCTGGGGGTGATAGTGTTACTGGCACAACTTTTTTCACTGGAATAAAAATTGACTTTCTCAAGCAACTACTTTGCCCAGCGGACAAGCAACTCACCCCGAGCATTCGCTTCGCTTACTGCTTGCCTTATCTCCTCTAGTAAGTGTTGCGCCGTTTTGTTTTTTTCGCTCAAATCGTCCGTCGAATTGCTCACGCTCTCGCTACCTATTCGTTTCTCTCTTTCGGCCAGTACCTAAAATAATAACAGATCACATTTTACACCTTCTGAGACAGTGCAACAATACTGTCTTGATCGCCTAAAAGCACTTGTTTTTCACATTGAGCCTATGCTGAACCGCGCTCATTCCATATACCAAATGGTATTACTACCTTAAATGAAATTGATTAATACTTACTTGCTTTAACTGCTCCGCAAGCGACGGCGGCGGACAAAACCCTAAACTCGCACTCTTATTCGGAACTCCTAGCCAAGGATCCGGACTACTTTGGTGCTGGTGAGTGGTACCCTTTTGTACTCTGGCATACAAAACATTTGTATTCATATGCTGATTATTTTGCTGTACACTATATGTTTGATTCTGTGAATTGTACTGTGAGGTTTGCTGATTTGTATACTGAACACTATTTTGTGAATATCCGTAATGGTTTTGCACACTATAAATTGCACTTTGGGAGTTATTGCACTGCGACTGCTCTGTGCTTAACGTGCTAGGCCTTATGACACTATTATTATATTTTGTTTCGGACGTATAACCATCATTTTGATTTAGGGAACCAATCTCCGAGAGATCGTCTGTCGAATTGTAACTCTCATCGAGACCGTAGTCTGAGCTACTGTTACTAAGAGATCCTTTTTTACCACTTGGTAGCTGCCTATTCGCCAAGGCGCCTCTGTTTGCCAGCTCCGCTTTACTTTTACTAGCCGATATGTCTAGAAGTTCGTGAGGGGGCACTGCTTTATCGAACTCTTCTTTAATTGGCAACTTTCGTTCGACCGTAGCGGTCTTGTCGCCATCTTCCGGACTTGTATCCGATATTTCGGTGTCGGATAATTCGGCGTCTAAAGTTTGAAAAAGCGGCTTGGGAGGTTGCCGCCTCATCAATTGCGGCGTGAGTTGCTTGAGTGAGATGCTATCGTACGGTAAACCAACGGGGACCCCCGCCTTCTGTTGCGTATCCAGTAAATCCTGTTCCAGCGCGATTATTCGATCTTTAAGATTTTTGACTAACGAATTATACTCTGTATCCTTCTCCTGCAAGAGCTGCTGATAAAATTCTTCCCTGTGAATCATATCCAACTCTCGCTGCTGAAATTCGCGAACGATGCGTTTTGCTTTGGTGTATTTCTTTTCGAGCACTACGTACTGGCCTTGAGACTGTTCCAGCATATTCTGATATGTGATGACTTCCTTTCTCGAAACGTTCAATTTATTTTCGGCTTCTTTTAGTTTTTGATGGGTCTGTTTCAACT